CGGCCGCCCGCGGCCTTTGTGGCGCTGCCCCGCGCGGGCCGGGCGCGGGGGTCGCGCCGGGACGGCCCGAGCCGCGGCCGCAACAAGTTGGGGAGCGGCGGCGCCGCCGGCCCGGCCCCGCTTCGGGCCGCGAGGAAGCGAAACGACCCGCCGCGGAGGAAGGCGCCGGGCGCGGCGGCCGTTGGGGACCGTTGGGGACCGTTGGGGCGGTGCTGCGCGCGCGGCCGGGCACGGCGCTTTGCCTGGGGCGGCAGCGGGGGGGCTGCCCCTCGCGCGGGTCCCGCCGCGTCCCCCGCGGCCGCGGGTTCAGGTCCCCGGGTGGTTCCGGCCCGGCCCGGCCTGCGGCGCCGCCGGCGCCCGCAGCCCCCGGGAACGGCAGTTCTGACACGAGCTGCAACTGGCCGAGTTTGCACCGAGCCTTGGCCGCCCCCTCCGGTGATGCCACGGCCTTGGTGAGGTGAAAGGCTGCGCAGTTGGCGTGTTTAGAGCTGGAGATCTGCAGTTTCCAAGCTCAGTGAGTGCAGTGTCGATGTTATGGGTTTGCCTGCTTGTGATTGCTCTGAAGAGGAGTCTGTATCATCCGGGTGTAGCAGTAGGAAGTGGTGCTGCATGTGAAGAGCTCCCGTTTGGGTGCTCAAGCTTTGTCCTCAAAATCACGTGAATAGTAGTATTTTGGCCGCAAATCCCATGCACTGATATAAATGCCTGTAGTTGGACTTGCCTGATTTTTATCTAGAACTGAGCCCAGCCTGTTAAAGCTGGGGAACTTTGCTCTGAGTTGAAAAGCAGAGGTGCAGCTTTACAGCGAGCTCTCCATGGGCTTTATTGTCTTTGTAATCGTGTCCCTGGCTTGAGAACTGGAGCTGCTCGAGCCTGAAGCTGCAGTTCACGTGTGTCTGTGTTAACCTGGCGAGGCCGCGTGGTCAGCAGATGAACAGAGACCTTAACGAGGGGTCAGCCCGAACTGAGAGGTGTGTGCAAATAGTTTAGTTTGGGATCTGTTTTACAGTTCTACTCAGTTAATCTAAGCAAAGATCATTTAAAATCTACATCTTTGGCTGCAGAAGGACAGACTGTCCTCTACCTCTCTGGAACTTGGGATTAGGGGGAGCCCATTTGCAAAAAGCTGGTTAAAGACTTTTGCCCCAAATATAGAGATCACATAGGTATAACAGTTCCATAACTTCTTTCCCTATTTCTTTAAGTGGTGTTTCAATATTTGAAATCTGTAGCAACTTTAGAGTATTTCTAACCATTTGATACCAGTTTATAGACTGGTAGCTAGCATCCACTGCCAAGCAATTCTCAGATGGATTCTGTTTATAAGGCCCTGTGATGCTTTGCTGGTGGCTAATGGGCTAGATCTGAATTTTATTCCGTCCATTTATTGAATTTTCTACTAGGATGAGTTTGGAAGTGTCATTTTTTGTCTTATTTTTGCCACCTTCGGAGGATCGTTAACTTCCTCTGTAAAATGCTTTAAGATCTACTAACAGGACAGTGCAAGATTCATGTGTTCTTATCCTTGGGGCAAAGTGTACAGAATGAAAACTGGTGAGGTTGGTTGGCCCTTGTTAACAACAAGGTTCTGCATCCTGCAGACTTCGCTGAATGCAAATAGTCTCCCATCGTTTTAATGGACTATGTATTTGCACTGACACTTATCTAGAAATAGGGCAAAGATTATTCAAACTGTGTGTGCTACAGGCTTGTGATCGTTTTTTCCTTTCCTTTTCCCCTGACAGAAGAGGCTCCTTCTTTGCAGTGGATGTGCGAGCGGGATTCCCGAAAGCAGGACTGGCCCTTCTGCACCCTGGCTCACAGTGCTGGCATTCCTGCCTTTCCTTTTCCCCCTCAGTTTTGGAATTTTCATTTTTTTTTGAATGGRATAGAATGAGTGTAGTGATTCTTGCGGGCCTATGTTGTGCCAGACAGGGTAGAAATCAGAAGTCAATGCTATATCACACGGGAATCCTGTTCCATGCAAGTGGGATCCGTGTGTGGCTCGGCAGAGGTGCTCTGCATTTCCTATAAAAGCACTTTAAYGCACTTGGGTTCTGCAGCTTTTCGTCTTGGAGTTATTAATGTTGCCTTATCTGAGTACCTACCAGAAATGTTTYTTCAAATGCATTTTCAGGAAACCATTCACACTGTTGATGGGAGGTTATTAGGTTTTGCATGAAATTCTTGTTGTTTTCTTGTTCTCTGTGACATTTCTTTCGCTCGGAGTAGGTAAGCAGATTGCAAATTGCAATTTCGTGTGTGAGGGTAAAAGGAAACCTGTGAAACACAACGGGGTGATTCTCCTTCCCAATTTCCTTCGCTCGGTATCTATGGAATGATGCATCACGCACCCACCAGCTGTATTTACGTATTTTGCACATCATTCTCTGAGGGCCCCTGTCCTTCAAGGTGGGTGCTGAACCCTCCAGAAGGTCCCTTGTGATTCAAAGAAACTCTTGCAAACCCCACGGTGCTGTTTGTGTGTAGCAATCCACAGAATTGGAGYCTGCTCTTGTTTAAATGTAAGCAGAGGGTTTATTACCTCTTCAAGGTATAATGGCGGAATGTAAATATTTGAATTGATTTATGAGTCAGATGTTATGTGCTAGCTAGTTGGGCTGGAAGCAAAATAAATAGAAACTCATTCATAGTGTGGTAGAAAGTCGCTGAAAATTGTCTCTATACTTCATTGATTGTTGCCTAAAGTTAATTAACAAACAAARTTGGCATAATATTTAAACATAATATTTAAAACTTAAAAAAATAAGCTGTCTTTTTTTTTTTTCTAAGCTTGTTTCACTATTTGCATTAAATTAAATATATATGTTTGGATTCTTTAAACAACTATAGGATGTCTCAGTATATCATAAGGTGATTTCTGTTCTGCTGGACCTGGTTTGCTTTCTGTGTGTAGTGTTGGAAATGCCAGGAACTATGATCATTTAACCCCTTCCTCCTCCCTTTTTTTTTTTTTTTTTTAAATAAAAAAGAGCGTATTACAAGAGTAAGGAGTGTTTTACAATGCAGTGAGTTAAATTATAGTGTTAGTGTTCAAGTTAGTTACATTTATGTATGGTTACTTGTAGGGAATTCAAAATGTCTCCATTGACCTGAGTATCCAAGGAATCTGAAAGTGTTTATTCGCTTTGAAACAGGGTCCTTGTGCCCTTTGGCTCCTTTCAGCAGGGTTGAGCGGTGTAATCAGATAAAGGAAGAAACCCAGAGAGACCCAGAGGAGGAAGTGGTTACCAGCAAATAATGGCTCCTTTCCTCTATTTTGCAAAAATGACTGATGTGAGGAAAAAAAAWTCTTTATCAGTGATCAGTTTGTAAACCAGCAGTACTGTGTAACAAACTCTGATACCTTTAACCTGTGACAATTGTCCACTACTGCAAATGATGTTACCCTGATAACGGTACCAGCAGAGAAGAATCACTCCCCAAAACGGCTTTTTGGCCTGTTGGATTCTGTCCTGTAATCAGTTCATCTATGTTCTTTCTCTCTCTAATCACTTTGCATCTCTAGATCTATGTAAGTCTTGTTTACTTCAACAGTTAATCTAATGATTTTTTTACTGTGTTTTGAGGGGTATTGAAAACACTGAAGTGTTTTGAGCAAACAGTGATTAACCATCAAGAACTTCCTTTTAGATAGTAAGAGAATTAATACGCACTCACAAGTATGCACTTTATTACAGATTGCTTGTTTTAAATCTGTCTCATTTAGTCAAGACAAGCTCTAATTTTTCAGTTGCCAAAAAGCTGTGAACACGCTCAGCTCTTGGAACAGGACAGGGAAAGATTTTCCCTATCGGGGAGGTCTGTGTCGGTACTCGCGCCCCGTGTGCGAGCTTGGAGCCTTTGAAGTGCCCCTGGGAAGGCCACGTGTATTTTGCCTATCTCTACTCATGCGTGTGACTAACAAAGCTCGTTTGAAACTGCATGTGGCATTTGTGCTAAATGGGGCCTCAGTTTGTTTGCGACTTGGATATGCTTGGATATAAAGGAAAAGAAAATGACCCTAGAACAGGAGCTTTACCTAGCTCTAAAAGTGCTGTATGAGCCCTTTCAGAGTGCTCTGAGCATTTTAATTTGTTCTACTTTTACATATAAAAGTTACAGGGTCTCTTGCCTTTAACTTTTATCATGCTGATCTTCTGCCTTT